TTAAATAAAAAGGTGAGCTCGGAAGCGTCTATAGTAAATCATCAAATCAAACAAACGTAGAGGACCCTCCATCCACTATGGCACAGCTTTCCTCACTGCTCATCTCTTAAGTTGTACACTAGGTTATTTATAGTAATATTTTATCATCAAGACAGTCGATGTGGGATTATTCAATTGTATTAACATGTGCTACCTTTCAAGCAAGTTTCAACTACTTAAAGTTGAATATAGATGTTGCATTATCAAGGTGACAATTAATTTTGAAAGTAAGTTATGTTTTGTTTTTTTCTTCTCATTAATTGGTTGAGCCTTTATTTCTTATCATGTTGCAAAGTAAAATATATATACGTCGTACAATAGTATATGTACTTCGTATATTGACAAATATGTCAATCAAACTGTTAATTATTTAGAAACGAAGGGATCATAAAAGATTATTATATGTATTCAACAATATATACTTTGTATTACTGTTGAATAACTAATATAATATCGAGTAACAAATGTTGTATGCATGTATCCAAATTATTTTATTTAATTCTTATATTGGGAGGACATATAATTCTAACCGTATAGTTATTCTTTATATTCATATCCTAAAAAATCAAAAAACACATCATTATTCTATTAATCTTGTGAAGTTTAACATAAAAAATTTTAGTGCTCAGACACGTCGGTTTGTCATCTGTTGTTCAGAGAAACGTAGTGGACTCTTCCATAGTTCCATCTACACAAGCGCAATATGCATCATAGCTCAATAGTTAATACAACGGAAGTGTATTATTGAATATAAACATGTTTTTGTTAGTGATATAACGTAAATGTGGGACAATTGAATGTATGCTACTTAGAGTCTTAGAGGTGTTAAAAATCGATCTGACTGAACAATCCGATTTATTATGATCTGAAAAAACAGACACAATAATTTCGTACTCCAACCCAAGTACCCAAATCGACAAATTTTTCAAGAAATCACACATACAAAACTAAAATATCGAGAAATCATTCCACAAAGCTAGGAACCGAGCTAAGGCTAAGTCATTTAAATCCTCCAACAAAATGGGTCGAATATATTCCAAGACCATCATGAATAGTGCGTATGTTCTTAATTGCAACATTGGAAGTTTAGACATCTTGTTAATGCATATCTCAAATTTAATACTTCGTAATATCTAATTATGTTTATTGTATCTTATAATAGTTTGGGTTTATAAAAAAAAATGTTTATTGTATCTTATAATAGTTTGGGTTTATATCTGTAAAGTATATTTGTATATGTTAAGAGTCTTGAGACTTTCTAAAAAAAAACTACAAATATTGACACGAATCTAACAAGATTATCTTAAATGTTTGTATATTTCTTAGCAAAGTATAACAAAAAAGACAATCAAATGAATGTGTGTAAATAGTGTACAATTTCAAACTGTAAGACAGTGAGTTTGTGTAATTCTCTTCGCCATTGTATTCTCATTAGCAACATATATATAGGTGAATAATTACAACATAAACATGGAGAATACATAAGGTTACACAATAATAATTACAGAATACCAAGTGATGAGTGAATACTAATCATATCCCCACTAACACACCTCCGCAGTCGTAGCGGGAGAAGGCCGAACGCTTAGACTGTTTCTGAAATCCAAGAAGAGCTGCCGAGGTAAACCTTTCGTGAAAATGTCCGCGTATTGGTACGATGAAGGAACGTGGAGCACCCTTACTTGACCCGAGGCAACCTTTTCACGAACAAATAGAATATCTAACTCGATGTGCTTTGTTCGTTGATGTTGGACGGGATTGCTAGACAAATACATAGCGGAGATGTTGTCACAATAGACAAGGGTAGCCCGTCGAAGTGGGCAGTGAAGTTCGAGCATCAGGTTGCGAATCCAACAAGTTTCCGCAACAACATTAGCGACGACACGGTATTCTGCTTCGGCACTTGACTTAGATAAGGTTGGTTGCCGTTTTGCTGGCCAAGACACAAGGTTATCACCGAGATAGACGCAGTAGCCGGAGGTCGACCGCCGTGTGTCTGGACAGCCGCCCCAGTCGACGTCCGTATATGAGACAAGGCTGCTAGGAGCAGACCGATAAAGATGCAGGCCATGGTCGGCTGTGCCCTTGATGTATCGTATGATCCGTTTGAGGGCATTGAAGTGTGGCTCACGAGGGTCATGCATGAACAAACAGATTTGTTGTACGGCATATGCGATGTCCGGTCGTGTGAATGTGAGGTATTGCAAAGCACCCGCAAGACTACGGTACAGAGAAGGGTCAGCGACCGGTTTGCCATCAAGAGCACTTAATTTGGATTTAGAGTCAACCGAGGTGGAAACCTGCTTGCAATTTCCCATGTTGGCATGAATAATGATCTCTTCGGCATACTTTTGTTGAGTGAGAAACATAACACTAGGAGACCGAGTTACGGAAATTCCCAAAAAATAGTGAAGCTTCCCGAGGTCCGACATATCAAATTCGGATTTAAGGAGCCCAATAATCTCGGACTTAAGAGCCTCCGAAGAAGTTGTAAGCACAATGTCATCAACGTACAAAAGTAAGTAAGCAATATTCGGGCCATGACGGAAAATGAAAAGTGAGTTATCACTTTTGCTACATACAAACCCAATCCGAAGGAGATAATTAGCAAATCGTTGGTACCACGCTCTAGGAGCCTGTTTCAGACCATACAAAGATTTTCGGAGCCGACACACATAATGAGGAAACCGAGGGTCCACGAAACCCGGAGGTTGATGCATAAAGACAGTTTCTTTGAGATCCCCATGAAGAAACGCATTTTTGACATCAAGTTGATGAATAGGCCAATTTCTCCCCATAGCAATACTCAAAACCGTACGAATAGTGGTCGGTTTAACCACTGGACTAAAAGTCTCATCACAGTCAATCCCAACCTGTTGAGACTTGCCATTCACAACAAGTCTCGCCTTGTGTCTCTCCAAATCACCATTTTCCCTGTATTTGTGCTTAAAAAGCCACATGCATCGGATAATGTTCACCCCCTCCGGTCTCGGAACAAGTTCCCATGTTTGCTGTTTTACAAGAGCATTATATTCCTCATTCATAGCGGCATTCCAATTCGGATCTAGTTTGGCTAATTTTGGATTTGTAGGAATAGAAGAAATAGCTTGGGCCGAGCAATTATACTTCGGATTAGGCTTAAAAATTCCACTCTTAGCTCGAGTATGCATAGAATGTGATGGAACTAGAATTGGGCTTGAGTGAGGAGTAGGAACAGCATTAAGGGGAATTGATCCAAATTGGATCAATGGGGAAAGAGGCGGACTGGGCTGTTGGGTTGAGCCGCGGCCCACCAGAGGAGAAGATTGGAGAGGGGATATTGAAGGAGAGTTTGGAGGGGAAAATGGCGGGTTTGGTTGATAGTGGTTTGGGCCGGCATTAGTGGGCTGAGAAGCTGGGCCAGTATGAGTTTGGATGAGAATAGGGGCTATGATGGGAGGAATTTGGGAGTCTAAAAGCTATAGTCCGAATCACGAAAATTTGAGAGGTCAGAGAAGGGGAAAACATCCTCTACAAAGGTGATATGTCGTGAAATCGTGATTTTGTTGGATGATAATTCATAGCAAAGATAACCCCGATGGTTGGATGGGAACCCCAAAAAAACACAAGGTTTAGAACGGGGAGCTAGCTTATGAGGAGCAGTGGCACTCAAATTTGGGTAGCAAAGACATCCAAAAATACGAAGGTGGTCGTATGTAGGAAACCTACGGTATAAAACCTCGGTTGGAGTTTTGTTTTGGATGGTCTTTGATGGTAGAATGTTGAGTATGTAAGAAACCATTTGAATAGCATAAACCCAAAAAGTAGGTGGAAGAGAAGCATGAAAAAGAACTGTGCGAGACATATTGTTGATGGTACGGATTATTCTTTCGGCTTTCCCATTTTGGGAGGAAGTGTTAGGGCAAGAGAAACGAAAGACCATGCCATTTTTCGCACAAAAGGTAAGAAAGGGAGAATTATCGAATTCCCGACCATTGTCACTTTGAAAGGTTTTAATGTCCCTCTCAAATTGTGTTTTCACATAAGTGCGGAAATTCAAAAAAATGTCATAGACTTGGGATTTGTATTTTAGAGGAAAAATCCAAAGAAAATGAGAGAAGTCATATTCAAGCAACACCAAATAATATTTATGACCCAATTTGCTAGTAATAGGAGAAGTCCATAAGTCCGCATGAATTATATCAAAAGGGAAAAACGTTACAATAGTAGACGACTTAAAAGGGAGTCGCACATGTTTTCCTAAAGGACAAGAGTAGCAAAAAGGAGTACTAGCATGCTTATTACAATTGATAAGATTGTTTTTCCTAAGAAAATCAAAAACTGGTGTGCCGGGATGTCCAAGTCTATGATGCCAAGTTGAAGGAGAGATTGCAGCTAGAGAGAGTTGAGAGTTGGAAGCGGAAATTGTGGATAGAGGATAGAGGTCCCCCACACTATTGCATCTCGCTAGAATTGTCCCCGAATGAAGGTCCTTCACACAAAAACCAAGAGGATCAAATTCAACAGAAACAGAATTATCACATGTGAATTTTCTCACAGAAATTAGGTTTTTAATAATGCTAGGAACATGTAGGACATTCTTGAGTTGGAAAGAAGAGTTATGTGGGGGGGTAGTGGTGGATCCGTAGCCATGAATAGGAATGCATTTGCCATCATCGACTAAAATGTATTGAGGAATGCTCAAATTAAACAGTTTAGAGAAATTACCCGAATCACGAGTCATATGAGAAGTGGCCCCCGTGTCCATGTACCAACCGTTGTCGGGAGTTTGGAAGCTCATTGAGCTATATGCTTGACCAAATTCCGTGGGAGTCATGAGAGGACCATATCCGAATTGAGCTGGGCTAGCATAGTAGGCTTGATGCTGATTTGGTCGTGGGCCCAAGAGAGACGGTTGGGGCTGCCCCTTGAACTGCTGCATTGGGCCAGTAGGGAATGGGCAAGGGGGGGGGGGAAGCCCACTAGCCTGGTTGCTGTTGCTGCCAAGTGGGCTGCCCGCCCCATTGAGGAGCCTGCTGGGCCAAGTACTGTGGGCCGTTGGGCTGGTGAGAAGAGGAGGGATTTGTGGTTCGCCCCCTGCCACGCCCCTTCCCATTTTTACTCTGCCCTCTGCCACGACCCCGCCCTCCACGAATAGCCCCACCACACTGACTGTCGGAGTGTTGCGGTGGTGGTGGTGACGGTGCCGCGACGGCAGTCGGTGGTTGTTGAGCCATGAGGGCCTGTTGACCATGCTCTTCTTGCTTTGACTTTCGGGTTTCTTCTAGCAAGAACATAGAACGAGCCTTGATAAAACTTGGGGTTGGTTCGGTTTGGGAAATCAGTGCGGCAACCGTGTCATACTCCCCTTTTGTCAAACCAGAAATCAACTGAAGAACCATTTTTCTGTCGGAGACCGGATTGTCGACATTGCTTAATTGGTCGGCAAGAAGCTTGATCTCTTTGCAATAATCTTCCATATTAGCAAAATGTTCAAGTCGAGTCCATAACTGAAGAGCGGTTGCACCTTGCTTCATGATGGCGTGAACAAGGTCTTTAGAGATAGTACTATAAATCCAGCCCTTCACAATTGCATCTAACCTTGTCCATGTCGCATCATCAATATCTGAGGGTCGAGAAACGGAGGCATCGATATGGTCAAGAACATTGTACGCACATGCTTGAATATGAAAGCGTTCAACCCATGTGGCGTATTGCCCTTCTTCTTGATCAAGGGTGATGCTAATCAGATTTTTGATGTTGTTTACGGCATAGGCGGGTTGGAAACCGGGAGAGGGTGGTGGGGGAGTTTGATCATCACCAGCCACAGATGACGGAAGGAGATACGGTGGCTACTAGAAAGCTACGGCAGGCCAAGGGTCGAATGGGGAAAAGAGAAGAGAAAGAGTCACCCTTAGGCAACTGATACCATGTAAGACAGTGAGTTTGTGTAATACCAAGTGATGAGAGAATACTAATCATATCCACTAACACAAACATTATTTATTTTATTTTATTTTGTTTTTTGGACAAGAGTAATTAGCTTGTTATATCACCTAGTTTGATTTAGATGTTTGTGTAAAAGTTTATTTAGCTAGCATGAAGTACTTTGTCCCAAAAAAAAAATATAGCATGAAGTAGCTACTTAATTTTGTAAAACGACCGCTAGGAAAAACAGAAATTGTTGGGCCCAATTGGCAATTGGATAAACAAATGGGCTATGTAATGTGCTATAATACTGGACCACTAGATATAAAGTAGATTGGGCTATTATTTGTCAATGGACTAGCCAGTTGATTGCGAGAAAACACAACACAACATGTGCTGAGGTGAGCTGATAAACAACTATACAAAACATGTGTGAGCTCTTATTAAAATGTGGATGCCAATTGTTGTACATTGCAAATTTGTGTGACCACCAAACACTAGTAGAATAAATGTGATGGGAAGCAGTTATAGGCAAGCGGTTTACAAAATCCGCTTCCCATTTGATTAATAAAAAAAAAGAGGGAAGTGAAATGGGAAGCGGTTTTGGCGCGAACTGCTTTCCTTTTAACTAATGGCCAGCGGTTTGGCCTTGAACCGCTTACCATTAGTTAAATTGGCAAGCGGTTCATGGCTAAACCGCTTACCATTTTAAAAAAAAAAAGCAGGCTTATGAACAGTGACTACACCCTCTCTTCTCCTCCCTGTTTCATTCAATTTACTTCCCAAAATTTTCAATTCCCCCGCCTTCACTCCTCCTCTCTGTCTCCCTCGTCCTCACCTGTCTTCTCACTTCTTCAGATTCCGGCCACCACCACCACCACTCCATTCATATTCATTTTTATTTTTTTTTTAATTTGGCTATTTAATTAAGTGAAGCTGCGGCGTTTGGGGGTCGTGCGTGGGTCGTGGGTTGAGGCTGCTGCTGGTGGTGGGTCGAGGCGGCTGCTGCTTGGTCGGAGGTTGATGGTGGTTGCTCGAGGCTGCCGGTGTTAGCTGGTGGTGTTCGTGGGTGTACTTGGTGGTGGTGCATGTTTGAGGGTGTTGTTGAACCGAGCCCAAGCACGCATTCTAGCTTCAATCTTCAATCTTTGTCTTTCTCACTCTCAAATTAGGGTGAGTTCTTGCTAAATTTTAGTTTCATATGTATTAATTAGTATTAATTGTTTGTTATTCCAAAATTTCAAGTTAGGGTTTCAAGTAGTTAATCCAAGTTTCATATGTATATATATATATTGTTTGAATTTGAGTAGCTTTAAATGAAATTGATGAATAGAATATATATTAGTTAACATTTTAGTTTGTTAAGTGTGGTTAATAAATTGCAATGTATATATGAATATAATGGATTGATATATATATATATATATATATATATATATATATATATATATATATATATATATATATATATATATATATATATATAAGTAAACTTATTTTGATTTTGTATGTATGTTAATTTAATTATTAGCCCTATTTAAATGAATGAACTTGTTTATTGTTGAATGTCAAATAAATGCAAATAATAATTGAATGCTTGAATCATCATTTTCCTAGATACCCGTTCGAGTCTTTCTCAATAGGAGAAAGTCTTGAATAGTCCCCAGTTGGGACTGTTCTTGGACGTTTAATCTCACTTAGGTAGTGAATGTATGTCTGTTTTTCGATTTTAAGGAATATCCGGGCTTCTCATTTTCTCACCATGTTCTCTGGGTACATATGTAGGTAAGTTATTACCTACATCGTGTACTTGGAGAACTGGGGGGAAATGCTGCCGGATTTTCCTTAAAATTGAAAAGTTGACATACATTCACTAGTGAGATTAGACGTTCAAGGATAGGTTAGGTTGGAGTGATAAGGACCTTTTGGGAGCATTCATTTTACGATTTATGGATGATATATATGCTATGTACTTTGATTACATAATATATTTTACATTTATCATTGTTTGAAATGTGTTGGTATGTTTAAAGGTAATTTAAATCGTCAATGGATCGCGGTTGGATGTATGGTAGACGTGATACATTGGAATTTTTTAATGGGGTTCAAGAGTTTTGCAAGAGTGCTTCACAGTATCAGCTTAGAACGGGTGTCAATTACCTTTATTGTCCTTGTGTCAATTGTAATAATGTCATAAGGGTCAATAGTGTGGATACCTGGAGTGACACTAGTTTCACTTCTTTATTGACTGCGTTATGTGATATGTTGCCAGATGGGAATGAACTTCCTAATTCCTATTATTATGCAAAGAAACTAATGTGTCCATTTGGTTTGGAGTATAAAAAGATACATGCATGTCCTAATGACTGTGTTCTGTATCGAAATGAATATAAAGAGTTGGAGGAGTGTCCACGTTGCGGTAAGTCGCGTTACAAGCGATCAAGCTGCAATGCTGGTAGTAAAGGACCTCCTGCCAAGGTGTTGTGGTATCTTCCTATTATTCCAAGGTTAAAGCGTCTATTTTCAATTCCAAAAGACGCCAAGAACCTGAGATGGCATGCTGAGGGAAGAAAGAAAAATGGCTTGTTGAAGCATCCTGCTGACTCTCCACAATGGAAGAACATCGATATGAAGTTTAGGCATTTGGTGGTGAAGTCAGAAATTTAAGGCTTGGGTTGTGCACGGACGGTATGAATCCATTTGGCACTCTTAGTACTAAACACAGCACATGGCCGGTACTTTTAGTGATTTACAACTTGCCTCCGTGGTTGTGTATGAAACGGAAATATATAATGCTTTCACTTTTGATAACGGGGCCAAGACAACCTGGAAACGACATTGATGTTTACCTTGAGCCCCTTATTGATGATTTGAGAAAGATGTGGGACGAAGGTGTTACCGTTTATGATGCCCATAAGAACGAGATGTTTCTTTTGCATGCTGCCCTTATGTGGACCATCAATGATTTTCCTATATATGGCAATCTGTCCGGGTACAAGAACAAAGGGCATAAAGCATGTCCCATTTGTATTGATGACACACCGAACGTGTACCTTGACCACTATGGCAAAGATGTGTACGTGAGGACTCGAAGATTTCTTAGGCGCGATCATCCGTATCGTAAGCAGAAAAAGGCCTTCGATGGGAAAGTTGAGGAGGGGGTTGCGCCTAGGCCATTGAGTGGAAATGAGGTTTATGAGAGAGTGAAGGGTATTCCATGTGTTTTTGGTAAAACAACGAAACCAATTGACCCACACGCTCTCTTTAAAAAGGAATCAATCTTTTGGAAGCTTGAGTACTGGAAAGAACATGATGTTAGACAATGTCTCGATGTGATTCATATAGAGAAGAATGTTTGTGATGCAATTCTGGGGACAATTATGAACATTCCTGGAAAAACGAAGGATGGCAAGAATGCGCGGTTAGATTTGCAAGAGTGGGGTGTTCGTCCGGAGTTGTGGGTTCAATCTAAGGTAGGGATGGTGAAGGTTAAGGAAAAGGGAAACGAAGATGGTGGTCAAAACCATAAGGGGAAGCGCAAGGACAAGGCCACGGGTATCGCAAAGAAGAAAGGTGATGGAAAAGGAAAAAACCAAAAGGTGTATTTACCTCTAGCTTGCTACACATTATCAAAGGAAGAAAAACGGAGGTTTTGTGCTTGTTTGTATGACATTAAGCTTCCTTCTGGGTTCTCATCAAACATGAAAAGGTTTGTTTCCTTAAATGGAGAATTAAAGTTGACAAGTATGAAATCCCATGATTGTCACATGATGATGCAAGTTTTCCTACCGATTGCACTTCGTGGAATTTTACCAAAGCACGTGAGAGAAGTTATAACAAGCCTCTGTGGGTTTTTCAATACTATCTGCAGCAAAGTTCTTGATCCCTTTACACTTGATGCTCTCCAGGCGACTGTTGTGGTAACTTTGTGCAAATTTGAGATGTTTTTCCCACCTTCACTTTTTGACATAATGGTGCATTTGATTTTGCATTTGGTTCGTGAGATTAAGTTGTGCGGTCCAGTATTTATGAGGTGGTGCTACCCTTTTGAACGACACATGGGTACACTGCAAGATAAAGTAAGAAATCCAGCCCATCCGGAAGGCAGTATGATACAAGGAATTGTGTCCGAGGAGATTGGGAATTTCGTGGCAGAGTATGTTGCCGTTGCCGAACCTATTGGGCTTCCTACATCCCGACATGAAGGGAGACTTGATGGTCATGGCACAATCGGGTCAAAAAGGATCTGGGCTGCTCGAGATCAAATCATGCAAGCTCACTTATTTGTGCTTCATCATATTGTGGAGGTTCACCCATATTTAGAAGAGCACATGGATAGTTTGCGTGTTGAATATCCATCAAAAAGGGAAAGAGCACTAATGCAGTTGCATAATAATATGTTTGTGAAGTGGTTCCATGATCGTGTGATGCGTCAATTGGATGAGACTGTGTCTGATACAATAAAGTGGCTAGCTTATGGTCCGAAGGAAGATGTTCATTCATTTGAGGGATATGATATAAATGGGTACACATTTTGGACTGAAAGTCGGGATCAGAAATCCTCATCGACTCAAAATAGTGGTGTCACTCTTGTGGCTTCATCAAGAGAGTTTGCAAGTGCGAAGGATACATCACCAGTTGACGCACTATTATCATACTATGGACGAATTCAGGAAATATGGGAACTAGATTACCGTGACTTCAAGGTTGGTCTATTCAAGTGTAAATGGGTCGATAATAATAGGCGCAACGTGAGAAATGATGACTTCACTCTTGTAGATCTTGGCCACTTGCGGGATAGTCTTGAACCATTCATCCTTGCATCTCAAGCTAAGCAAGTGTTCTATGTAACTGACCCGTCCGATCCAAGATGGTCCATCGTCTTGTCTGGCAAAAGGAGAATTTTAAGGGTTGGAGAGGTTGAGGACGAGGAAGAATATGATGCATTTGATGATTCTCCCCCTTTCACTGCTCCTACACTTGATGTAGCAACTGATGTAGATGATGATGCTACTTATATTCGATCTGACCACAATGAGGGAATACACGAATGAGGTACTTTTATTAATGCATGTTTTATTTACTAAATATCTTATGCTACAACAAGTTTGTTTTTATTTAGGGAAGTGTTTTATTTTTTTGTATTTTCAACGTATAAGCATGTAATATTCACTAAATATATGAATTGTTTAGAGAATTATATGTGAATTTGTTATGAAACCAAAGAAGTTGGGTAAGTGTTTGTCTTTCATCGTGCCTCAGAATTGATTGTCATTACTGATGACTAACAATATGCTTTGCTTGTTTACTGTAGGTGTGCACATATCATGGATCCTGATGAGAACCTTCATTCTGATGAGGATATGGATGATGATTCTGGGGACGAGTTGTATGATGTTAATAAGGAGACAAATATGGGGGAATCGGAAGACCAAGCTTATGACCAGTTCTAACATAAGCTTGATGAATTTGAGCGTATAGATGAAACTGCCCCACCTATTAATGATAATGTGGTTACCGAAGTTGTAGGTGATTCAAATTGTGAAACTCAAATGCAAAGACAAGTGAAAAAAACCGGTGGTGGAGGAGGGGTAAAGCCACCGGTGAACAGAAGGAGTAGGGGTGCAACTAAAGCTTTCAAGAAACCCAGCGTTCCTATGGCACTTGAGTTTGATGAGTTAGGTCAACCTACTGGCCAATGGCGCGACAAATTTTCTAGTCAAGTTGGCATTCTAACTCGACAAATACCAATCACACTTGAGTTTGCCGAGATACCTCACGGGTTGCTTCAAACATTTTGGGATGATACTATGGTAAGTATTTATTGCAATCAAACTTTTATTTTAAATTCATATATATAAAAAAAAAATTACAAAAACAACCCCC